TCAGCTCACCCTCAGCCGCGGTGCAGGGGGCGGAGCTCCTCTCCGCGCTCACACCGTCCGTGGCTTTCTCCCTCGTGGCAGGCGTTGTTGCCGGCTCACACACCTTGACTGACGTCACGGCCTCTGGCTCCACGGCGATCCTCAGCTCTGTCGCTCTCTCTAGCGATGGCTCGTCGGTCGCGGCGGGCTCTGGCTCTCCATCAGCGGTGGGCTCGGGCATGCGCTCCACTCATCGGGGAGATGGGGGGCTGGGCTCTGGGTCTGGAGTGGCACTGGCGATTAATTCCTGGGAACGGAGATCCATTTCTCACCAGTGTCCACTCCACAAAGGTGGCGAATTCAGCTCGAGGTCCATCTTCGGACACCGGCGCTCTGCACGCGGTGTTGAGGCTGGCGTCATAGAACGCGCAGAGCGTATCGTCCAGATAGGTGGTGAGATGGGCCACAGCCAGAAACAGTCTGGTATGACCCTCGAGCGAATTTTCCCCCTGCTCCAGCAGGAGGAGGATGAATTCGAGACTAAGGAGGGGATCCATAGGGCACACAACGGAAACAAAAAACTGAGTAAAAAGAGAAACAAAACGGAGGGTACAAACGGAGGTAACTGTTTGGGTCGGGTCTTCTGTCACAATTCACTCTGGGAGCAAGGAACGAGGAAACGAGGAGTACTTGATTAACACGGTCTTTAATAATCCACAGGAAAACCGAGAACAAGGAGGACATTCAACAAGTAGACCCGACCAACAAGAACTGAAAGGCCTAGGGCTTTTAAAAGCAGGATAATTGGGGAGGAACGAGACACACCTGGAATCAAATTAACACAATCAACATGAGGAAGAAACTGGGTCACAGGGGCAAAAACACACACAGAATAGTCCATAATCCTGACAACATTATGCATAACACCGTGTCTACACCAGACGCGAGCGGCGCGACAAAATTCTATAGAATCCATTATAATCAGTGATGCTGTCTACACTGGATGTGGCGCGGCGCGACACGATAAATCCCCGACAGTAATCTGCTGCCGCGTTATATTTATGACGTACTGACACAAATTTCAAATTATATTTAATGGTCACTTTGTCGCGTCCAGTGTAGACAGACTTTAGCTGTCTGGTGTTGACACGGTGTAACCATCACTGTATCCAGTAACACTTTAGATTAGGGAACACTATTCATTATTAACTTGTTGTTTATTAGCATGCATATTACTATCATATTGGCTGTTTTTTAGTATTTATAATCAGAATCAGAAAGAGCTTTATTGCCAGGTTTGTTTACACATATGAGGGATTTGTTTTGGTGACAGAAGCTTCCACAGCACGAACAGAATGACAATGACAAGACAAGACAGATAATAAAAATAATAAAAATAGGATAAATAAATAGGAAATAACAATATACAAAAAAATAAAAAAATAAATAAAAAATACACTATATACAAAGTAGACAATAGATGATATTTGTGTGTACAGGTGTGTTATGTAGAAATGCAAGGAAATGTAAAAAGAGGTATGTGTGTTAAATAAATAATGTATTAATAATGTTGTGTATTACACGTTTATTGCCAAGTTAACTGTTCATGAGATGGATTGCCTGAGGGAAGAAACTGTTCTTATGCCTGGCCGTTCTGGTGCTCAGTGCAGTGCCTACCAGATGGCAACAGTTCAAAGAAGAAGTGGGCTGGGTGTGAGGGCTCCAGAATAATTTTGCCAGCTCTCTTTTACTCTCTCTGGATGAGTGCAGTTCTTGGAGAGTGTGATTCTCTCATCAGTCCGGACTATCCGCTACAAGCTTCTAAGGTCTGATTTGGTTGCTGACCTGGACCAGAAAGTTATTGAAGTGCAGAGGACAGATTCAATGACTGCAGAGTAGAACTGTATCAGCAGCTACTGTGGCAGGTTGAACTTCCTCAGCTGGTGAAGGAAGTACAGCCTCTGCTGAGCCTTATTGACAATGCACATATTAAAAGCACATATTAATGCCTTACTCTGCATGACTGTCACATGTTGGTTCTGTTTCTGTTTAGTTTTTGTGCACTTTATATTATACCAATGCGCAACAGAATACCGGACCTAGAGAAGATAGATTTAGCTGTGTTTTCCTTTCTTTTGTTTTGTTCTTGTTTCATTTCACCCATGGACCTGCCTGCCATTCAGCTGCTCTACCTGGAGGACCATACAAGGGACTTTTTAGATCTGGCGTGCCTCACTCACTATCCTGGTCTAAGGCACACTTTTCAGTGAACAGTCCCAGAGAGGATTTCACCCCTTTCATGGAGTGGGTGATGGTGAACAATGGATCAGCGTTCACCATCTGACCCAAGGAGGATGACACCAGCCCTACTCCAGATCCAGAGCCCAGCCAGCTGGCTCCCACACCCTGCACTGTCTGAGCCCACCACAGACACGGAGCCTGAGCTCAATGGAGAGTCTGATCAGGTGCATGAGCCGGTAACATCACCCGTCCCTTAGTGGAATACTTGGGTCTGAAATGGAGCCCCACCCACACTCCCGCCGCTGAGGGTGAGCTGCAGCTGGCCTTTGTAATAGTTGATGTTTTAGAAGAGGATGTGTCCCTGTTTCTCCAGTCTCCACTGGTTCCGTCCAGTCCCGAACCTGCGTCTGCTGAATCTCCTGCGTCTTCTATGGTTCTGCCCAGCTTCTGTTCTCCTGTGTTCCCTCCCAGCCTCCATCTCCCACCTCCTCTACTTAAACCAGCCAGTTCCTCATCCCTGCCTCTGCTGGTTCCTGTCAGTCCATCAGCTCACACTCAGTTAGCGCTATCTGGGCGCTCTGATTCACCTCGGGCCTTCTGGTCTCCAGCTCTGCCTTGACATGAGGATCCCCTATCTCCGCCTCTAGGCACTGAGCCCCAAATTTCACCTCAGCCCTCCGACCCATCGGCTCCATCTTGGCTCCATGTGCCCTCATCTCCACTGTGGTCTGTCATCCCATCCTCCCAGACTTCCACCATGGCTCCTCCCTCCTGCGACTTCACCATGAAAGATCTCGCTGACTGTGGCCTGGGTACCTGTCTGGCTCCTCCTGCTCCTGGCTCCTGTCTTCACCGCATTGGTTTCTCCCCCTGTCACCTTCTCACAGTTCCAGACCTTCTCCTGCTCCATGCCCTCCTCCAGAGCCCCAGCCCTCCCTCCTCAGTTGGACTTTGTTCTTTCTACGCCACGAGGACTCACCTTCCGGGAGTGGGGAGTTCTGTTACATGTTGGTTCTCTTTCTATTTAGTTTTCTCCCTGTTCGTAAATGCCTGCCTGAGTTAGTTTCCATGGTTCTTGATTAATTCGTTCCCACACCTGTTCTGTTTCTTCCTGATTATGTTCCCTATTTAAGCCCTCAGTTTCCCTCAGTTCATTGTCCAATATTGTTTGTTTGTATGTTTGTATCTTGGGGGTTTCTCCTTGTGGATTTATTAAAAAAGACTTCTTGGACTCCTTCGTCGTGTGCTTTATATTATACCAACACATAACAATGACCATATTCTAGATCCCTTAACCCTAAACATAACAACTACAACAACTACCTTACTTGCTATCAACAAGCATAAAATTAGGAGTTTATTAAGTAAAAACTCTTAGTTTAATCATGACAACTCTCTGAAGATTTTAGCATTGTGATGGATATGACAGTGTTAATGTATTTGGTCTTGGCAGAATAGATCTGCTACACAGCAGCTGCTGCTGAATTGCTGCTGCTGTTGGTTATTGCTGTAGTTGTAGATTATTGCTGCTGCTGCAAGCAAGTACAGGAACTTGCTACTGCCAATGCATACGGCGATACGGTGCCGTGAGTATTTAAGACATACTGCTGCTGCACAAATAGCATATAAAATAACCC